GAACATGGGGCTGTACGGTGAGTGGGGCAGGTGCTGTGGAAATGGTTTCATCCAGGCTGCTGGAGGGACCCTGCTGCCTCCGGGGTTTAGGAGGCAGCATCTTTCTGCTGCCTGCATTCATTCTGCTGTACTGATTGGGGTGCTGGAGGTAACCCACAGGGAGCTGGTAGAGACCCGTATAGAGAACAGGGCTCTGCTAAAGCTGTGTGGCATTCAAATAAGTCCTGCCCCAGTGCTGGCTGTCGAAGGGCAGAGGCTGGGACTTGACTGCCCCTCTTTCAGGAGAGCGTGCGGGAGCCTTCACGGTGATCTGCAGTGATGTGGAGGAAGCCAAGAGGGTCGAGTCGCAGCTGAAGATCCTCATCCGCCCCATGTACTCCAACCCACCCCTGAACGGAGCCCGCATCGCCTCTATCATCCTAAACACCCCTGACCTACGGAAGGAGTGGTAAGAGGGACCCCTAATCTTCACTTCAGGGAGATGCGAGGTCTCTGTGGCAGCCTTATGCTGTGCTTGTCCCTGCTGCTGCCATGGGCAGCTCGTAGCTTTTGAGGGTACCGTCAGAACCACCCCTGTCCTCTGGAAAAATATCTGCCCATGTCCTGGCATCAGCTGGCGTCAGTCCAGCCTGACACAAACCGATTTCCCTCGTGTTGCCAAGGCAGTGAACAAAAGGAGGGGATAAAGCTCCCCTAGGATTGAGGGCTGCAGGAGCTGCCTGTCCAGGGAGTGCGGAAGACTGAGGTGTTGTAGCCACGTCATCTGTCTCGCATGGGGGAAGTGGAAGCGTAAGCCCCCTGAGAATAAGCCCCAGGAATGTAACCCCCGTGCCCTAAGCCTGCTTCTTGGCGTCAGCCCATGCTGCTCCGCCAGCCCCTGGGCGTGAGGCCCTGCTGGCAGCTGGCCTCCAGGACAAAGGCTGGCAGTGTGGTGTGGCCTCGCAGGCAGCTGTGCTCCTTTGGCAGGCGGATGCTTGTGCCTGATCCAGGGCCCGGCAGAGACGTCTCCGAACTGTGCTGCCCTGGAGCAGGGGGTGTCTGCCTGCACTGGGAGGTACTCCTGCACTCCACATTCATCTGCAGACAGTATTTTATCTGGGCGTGGGCAGCGTTGCTGTGGGGTCTCCTGGTCACCTGTGGCTCTCAGAAGCAAGAGATGCCAGTACTCATAGTGTCCAACAGCTATGGAATAAATAAATAAATAGCAGTCATCTTCAGTTATCAGGAGAATGAAGTAGCTGCCCAGAAGCAGCTGGAGCTGCGGGTTCATGCTATCTGGTCTTTGCTCATCTGCATCCCCCATGTTTTGGGGGTATGAGGCCCTTCCAGGTGGAGGGGGTTGATTCCCGGTACTTTGGAGGGGGAGCAGTGTTGGTGAGTCCCAACCCTGCTCTGAGCAGTTCCTGGCTTGGCTTCTTAGGCTCGTGGAGGTGAAGGGCATGGCCGACAGGATCATCGGCATGCGGACTCAGCTGGTGTCCAACCTCAAGAAAGAGGGATCCTCCCACAACTGGCAGCACATCACTGACCAGATCGGCATGTTCTGCTTCACGGGGCTGAAGCCTGAGCAGGTAAACACAGCTCCTGTGGTCTCAGGGTGTCGTCTGTGGGCCTTGTTAGTGAGATCTTGACTGCAGGTGCCAAAATGAGCCCTCGTAAGCAGTTCTTCCTCCAGGAGGAACATCCTCCAAGCCCTCAGCACTGGAGCATCCTGAGGACCCAGGTCTTGCTCTGCTCCCTGCTGTGCCTGTGGAGGTTCAAAGCAACCATAGCCTGCTCATCTATCAAAGGAAGCAGGCACTTGGTGCTGCTCTGAGGTGACCTTAAAGGTCAGCTCAAGTGAGGTGGCTCTCCTGGGTGAGCATCTGCAGTGTTTGTGTGCTGCCTGAGAGCCGAGCAGCATCTCCTGTGGTTTACCAGGTGTGCTCCTGGCTCTGCAGGTAGTGGGATGCCGTGTCCACTGGCACCCACTTTGCTTTCAGTTCTGGCCAGCTGGGTAGATCTGCACTCTGACAACAGTGGAGGCTGGCCTGCGGTTTGAACTCTGCTCTTTCACCCCAGGTGGAGCGGCTGACCAAGGAGTTCTCCATCTATATGACAAAGGACGGGCGGATCTCTATGGCGGGAGTGACGTCGGGCAATGTAGGTTACCTGGCTCATGCCATCCATCAAGTCACAAAGTAAAGACAAAGGTGTGTGCCCTGGAGCTGGTGGCCTTCCCTTCCCCACCGGTTGAAGATGGGGAAGGAAAGGAAACGAGCAGAATACTTCCCACCACAGCACTTGACGCCGCTGCTGAATGTATCTTGTAGATGAGTTGTTGTAGAAGCCTAGTCAAAACCACCCTGCGCTGTGGAGCAGGGACATCATTGCTGGCTCCTGCTCATCACAGCCGTTCTCCCCTGCTGTCCACCCTGTGTCCATCAGCCCTGGCACCCATCTGCGCTGGAGGGAGCGCCCATCCTACTGGTGTAGGCACCAAAGGCTTCCCCATGCTCATTTCTCCATGAGAATCACAGCATGTTAGGAGTTGGAAGGGACCTTGAAAGATCACCTAGACCAAACCCCCTGCCAGGGCAGGATCACCTAGAGAAGGGTTTGTGAGGCCGCTGGCCCAAGCAGCAGCAGGCGGGGAGCTGTGTGGGACGGCTGCTTTGTGCACCTCTGCCACCTCCTCTGTCTCACCTTCCTAGCCCAGGGCTGGGCAGCTGCCCTCCAACATCCAGCTCTGAGGACTTCTCACTACTGAAAGTGGCTTCGTTCTTCCCATCTGGGATCTCTTTTCTGGTGTAATTCAGTGACACTGAGATGTGGGGCAGCCCTGTCTCTCCCCTCAGCCTCCCTGGTTCTCCCATGCCCTGAGGTGAAGCGATTTCTTGCCCCCCCCAATAAGAACCTTCTCTGAAAACTGCTCTGATGCTCTCTGCCTCTCCCCGTTCCTGTACAAGCCTAGCAGCCCTCCCTGCGAAGCAGTCTGTGTGTGTCCCAGAGCTGTGATCCCTCCAACGTCCACCCCCTTGTGGGGCTGTGGGGTGTCCCTCATCTGCTCTGCTCAGCCAGATTTCTGGTGACACCAGGAAACAGCAGGAGGGAAAGATCCCAAGGGAAGCCTGAGAGCTGAGGACTCAAAAAACCATTCTGTCCATTTAAACTGAGTATCCATGAGGCCCTGTGATTTGCTGGACTCTGATTTTTAATCCAGATGAACTGGCGCACAGCTGTGTTGCGCTGGGGACTTCCTCCTGTCATCACACGGCTGGATCCTGTCCTTTCCATGTACCAAAATACTCCCTCCTGGGGATGTGCCAGCGCAGGGGATCTGTATGGCCAGTGAAACCCTCATCTCCAGAGGATCCCAAGGGCTCCATGGGCATGGGCTGAGGCTCTCCTGAGTGGGAGCTGGTGTCATGGAGCTGAAACTAAAGCCTTCTGTCTTAAATGGAGCTGTCCATGGGTTCCCATGGGCCAGCTGCCCTGTCCCTGGCCACCAGAGCACAACGGGGTTTCTCCTTGCTGTGAGTAAAGCCATCTCCATAGGCAGAGCTGGGGGGTGACCTCCGAGTCTGCATGAGCTTTCTCCATCCCCTGGTACTTCTTCCAGTTCCTTCCCAATGCAGCTCTGGGTTCCTGGGAGCCGGGATGGGCCTTGCTGTCCCTGGCAGAAGAGCATCTTGTGCCGGCTGAGGAGGCCTGGAGCCTCTTGCAGCTCCTGATCTTTGGGTTTTGGTTGTTCACCCTTCCCGGTGCCCACAGCCGCTGTATGTTCCCGTCCGTGCAATAAATCGCTTTCAGTGCTGCTGTCCCTGGGGGTTCCTGTGCTGTGGTCCCTGGTTCTGTGTGGCTCCAGAGCTGGCTCCTGGTCGCAGAGCCCTTTCCCCTCGCCTCGGGCCTTCCCGCAGCCCCTTCCTTGGTACAATAAAAGTCGAGCTGGAGCACAGCCCTTGCCTTCTCTCGGTCCTTCGCCGCGGGGGTACCCGAGTTCGGCTGCGGAGCGGTGGGGATGGGCAGGGAGGGGCTTCCCGGAGGGGGTGAACCCGCATCCGCTGCACCCCGGGGACGGGCATGGCTTCCCG